CGTGACAAGCAAGGCAATAATCCTTATTGTTTAGGAGCGTATTTATAGTATACCTGGGCCTTTAAAGGGGAACCGCTCAATCCCATGGATCCCATCCACATGCTCATGGGTAATTAACTCCGCCTCTGTCCACTAAGTAAATGAATGTTTATTATGCTCGCTTACTCAAACTGTGATTGACAGGCATTTTGTATACATTAGCCGCCATTTTAAAATCAAGATTTTTACATGTCGCGGTACATTTTGACCAAAACAGCAACATTTATACATCAAAAGCCCTACCAGATGAGCATAATCGCTAGCGTACATATTCAGGCCCCGTAAAAATGCATTTTGAATCACAGCTTCATCTCTAAACATCGTAAATGGTACATTTCACGGAGCTCCCGCCACAATGTGAGCGACTTGGTTCGGATTAGTATACTAATACAGTGGCCATATTGCCCCTACTTATAGTATCGGTTCCCCTTTAAGTAACCCCAAATATAGCCTGACAAGGTCGCACTAGTCGTGCCCTCCGTGATGCTCCAAACCCAACACGTGCCTGACAGAACGGTGTAGTTTTTCACTTCCCTGACGATTTTTTCTCGGTACTAATCAAATTGCAGGAATGACAGATAGTGACAGCCATCAAAGAGTAACCATTCACGGCAGAGTTTATTTGTTTGTTGTATAACGTGCTGGCAAATTTTCGCCTTATCATCTTGTTGAAAACAGTCTGTAATTTTTGCCGACAATGCAAACACAGCTTTGATTGACGCTGTTACCATGACCACCAAAATAAATATTCATTGAACTCATTGCAAGAAGGCGTGAACTTTGAAAATTCACAGTATTAATCTTGCCGACGAGACGTATACTATTCTGTCAGGCGTTGGTGGAGCACGGTGCTGTTAAGCCGGCGAGAGCGCCACTTGCGTCTACGTGTCAGGCTACCCCAAATACTGTGCAGTTATATGTGCCTCTCTTATCATCTGACGATCTACCGATCCAAGTTACGTTTGGACCAATCAGGAACAGCTACCTTTCAATCAGAACTTGTGCATACCGCTTTCTAATAAAGTACAGTACAGTCTGAGCATAACTTGACATTTCGCTAGATTTAATTGACTTCAAGGTAGTAATCTACTTAATATGTCACATAATTCGTAAAGGGTAAATATTACTGAGAATGAATTGAAATTCTTAATGACAATGCTACTTGCTTTAAACATACCTTGTTTCTATAAAAAGGCTGAACTAAGTTTGGAAGTTAAGTTACGTGCATATAGTCTAGTGTACAAAAGCTGCTTGAACATGACTTGCAAAGGCAATTAATTATAAGCATGTAATTAGAGAGTGCATGTAAGTACATCAGTGGACAGAGTCTAAAAAGTGGTGATGGCCTCTCAGTGTTCCTTTGTAGCAAATTTTGCACTGAAAAATATTATGTTTTTATTTCAAAAATATATTTGAATAATTTTCTATTTGAATACAAAAATACATGAAATAGCTAGGAAATTTTTCTCAGAGTGCTAGATTTTGCAATAATAGTGTAAAATACTTTATTTTCGCTTGGAATTAATTTTCTCTATTTTTGCTAAAGGAGTGATTCAGTGAAAATAAAATCCAGCGAATGTACCTTTTTTCCTATATTTTACATTCAACTCGCCAAAAATCAGTGAAAATAAATTCAATACAAAACACCCAAAAAGTCTTTTCAGCAAAAATTAATTCGAGCTAAAATATTTACCGTATTTTACAGTATTTGAGAGGAAGAAACAAGTCATGCCAAACTAATTATCGGCCATTTGTGATTAAGATCTATTTAATAATGAAAATATTTTTTTCTACATCTCTTACAGGTGGTGTAACTCCCCTTGTAGCGCCGGTGACAGAAGTCTCCACAACAACCATTATGAAATCAACGATCTCTAGGAATATTGACTTATAAATCTTTCTTTCTTCAATCCCTGAAGGTGTTTATTTCTGCATGGCAGCAGCAGTTTCCATGACAACTACTACGCCATCATTGATCTCCGTGAATATTGAGTTATAAATATTCTTTCTTTTTCTTCAGCTCTTACAGGTGCTAATCTCTCGGCAGTGGCAGCAGCAGCAGTAGCCACGACAACCACAACCTCAGTCAATGAAGTCCCTATTACATCAACAAACAATACAATGGTGACGGATACACCGTTACCAGATGGTGCAGCGGCGGCCACCGTGTGTTTAGACGATTCTTTAGATTCACCCTCCACCTCAGCTGGCTCGTCTAGCGATGAAAAAGATAATGAGAAGAAAACAAAAAAGCGGAATCGTTGTTATGCTTGTCGTAAGAAAGTAGGACTTACAGGTGAGCCTTGAACTTCTATTCCGAGAAGACACTGAATTATTTGAGTTGCCAATATCAATTTATGATCGAAAAAGTTAAAGGAGAACCACTCAATCCCAGGGATTGCACCAAAGAATCATGGGACACTATTGTTTATGTTGTTTACAATGTTAATCTATCTTTTGTTATCCATTGTTATTTTAATCCAGAAAGTGAATTTGTTGTGAGATTAGGCTTAACTGGAAGGTGCCCCTTTAAAGGGGAAGCGCTCAATCCCATGGACTGCACCAAAGAATCATGGGAACCTATTGTTTATGTTGTTTACAATGTTAATCTATCTTTTGTTATCCATTGTTATTTTAATCCAGAAAGTGAATTTGTTGTGAGATTAGGCTTAACTGGAAGGTGCCCCTTTAACAAAAATGACCATGTCCATATTTTAAAAACTCCACCTACTTTTGAGAAACCACACCCAAATTGTAACTTGATGATCAATTAACAGTTAAGCAGACCTCCGCGTTTATGGGTGACATAGATTTTTCATTTTGCATAACATTTTATGTTTACCGTAATTCAAAGTTCAGTTAGCAGTTATTTAAAATACGACTTACAAAATTTAAACGTTAGACAAAACAACAAATCTGTGTTGCCCGTAGCTCAAAGTTTGATTAACTTTTAATAAAGTTTGAGTTATTTAATGTGGACGTTCAACAAAAACAAAAATGTATATTGCCTGTAACTCAAAGTTCTGATAACTGTTAATTGAACAACGAGTTTCAGTTTTGGCTTGGTTTTGCAAAAGTAGGCGTGGTTTCTTAAATATGGGTCATTTTTGTAACTCAATGTTTTCGTAACTCGATATTCGTAACTCGAACAATTCAGCATCTCATTCTGACCAACTCCAAGCAATAAATAGCATCATTTGAAGACATGTGGCAGTTTTGAAAGCCAGCTAATATAGCTTTAAGCCAGCTTAAAGTGCCTGTGCAATAATGCCCACCCACACGCTTCCCATTTTAGATCTGTGCCCCACTGAAATGGGCAATTATTGATTTTTTTGCTGAAAATGATTACTCGTATCCAAGTAAATTTGAGATATTTCCCGTGCTGTAGCCACGCCCACCTATCCTGAAACTGTCGACTGTTTCCGGATTTCTGACTCTCGCCGAAAGTGCGCCACCAAATGCAAAAATATGAGAGGAAGCCATACCCCTGGGCCGTACTTTTATATCACTGTGTCATTCAACGTACAACTATACTTTTAAACGATATACCGTGAAAATAACGAGAAAAGGTTGGGGTGGACTTCCTCCTAACAGCGTCATATGCAGTGTCCACTTCACCTCAGATTCTTTTTTTTTTGAAAAACTGTCCTTGTCCATGACAAAACAACTAGGTTTTAACGAGAAACGTTTTCGAAAAAATAGATTCCGGACCAGCCCATGATCACTGAGATGGATTTCAGAAGGAGAGAGACGTCGAGTATGTGTTCATTGATTTGATTTTTTTGCGATCCTGATATCACTTTATAGAGACCACCC